GCTATATATTCTTATTTTCACCTGCTGTTACAGTTGTGGCCACAAACATAGGTTCCGGTAACAATAAGTTCATCTAAATCTACGTGTAAAAAAGGAAAGAATAGTTTTTGTTTGTGCTACAAGGCGTCAGTTTTTTGTTGTAATTTTAAGTTCCACCTTAAATGGAGCAGCAGTTACATCTGGCACCTGGACACAGCAGCCTCACCTTTTAAGGCGGAATTGGAATTTCCAATAAGAAGCCAACTTCAGCTTCACCCACAGGCCTGCTCTGTCAGAAATAAAGGTTCTGTGCAGGTACATTTTTCATTCGTCATGGTACAAACAATGTAAATGTATCTTTAAAGGTACAACAGTGGTTTAAAGTCCAACTCTGTACCTTAAAAACGTTTTTCCATGGGAAAAAAGTGTGTATTTGTACATTTTCATAACGTTTCAAAACAGAAAAATAAAATAAAAAGCCAGGATGTGTGGAATCAATACAACTTAAAATGTATAATTGCAAACAGAATATGACACAATTATGTTCTCTAACTAAATTTGCTCAAGACCCAGTGACAGTTTAGTACCTTTCTCTCTGAGAGCGTGTGGTCATGCATAAGAGCTGATATGGTATATTCAGAGGGTCATAGAAACAAATGCTACAGCAAATATTGCTATAAATTAGGATTATGAAATAGTACCAGTTTGTGTGTTATTCCATAATGTCAGAATCAACAGACTGTTTGATAAGACTTCAGAAGGTAAGCAGAAAGGACAATCGTTTCTCATTCAGTCTTCTCATATGTCAAGTTCAGAGGGTCAGAATAAATAAATCTGCACAGTAATATTTCTTGTAATCCATGCCATTGATTGTCTGTTAGATCTATTGTCATATGTTAATCTCAGATTCAACAAGGTGTTTGATCATCTAGAGTTAGGCCTACTGGAAATGCTTTAGGGTAAAGTGTAATATAAAGTGTAATATAACGTGTAATATAAAGTGCAGTAAATCTGCAGTTGTGCATTTTTATTATAAGACATGCTTTTAATTGTCTGTTAAATTGATCATAATTTGGTCTGAGATCAACAGACAGTTCCCAAGCCCTCTACCAGCAAAATATTGCTACTGCAGCATTTTAAGGTGGACCGGAAAATTCTAATAAGAAGCCAACTTCAGCCTCATCTGCCCTTGAGGCATAACTAACCAGTATAATGGTTATGACAAAAATCATACCTCAGAATTTCAACCGGTATACTGGATGAACCAGTAGACTGCCCAGTACCATCTGGAACTGTACTGACTGGTACACCCCCTACCAAAAAATATTTTCGGTGTTTTGATGATGTGCTGCAGAGTTCTGTCCCAAATCTCCCGTAGATGTTTTCATACTCATCATACCATTCGGTGACGCCTCATGCCCTGTAGTTGGGGGCACTGTCATACTGGAAAAGACCACTTCCATCAGGATAGAAATGTTACATTATGGAAAAAAGCTGATCACTCAGAATAACTGTGTATTGATTTGCAGTGTTTCTTCTTCTATACGGACAAGTGGACATACCCATCCATACATAAATGCCATCCAAAGCATAACAGAGCCTCTGGACTGCTTCACTGTTGAGATTTCAAGCATTCAGGCCTGTCCTCCTCTCTTGGTGTGCACCAAATATGCACTCACCTGATTATGGAGAATCCAATAAAGAGTAACTCATCTGACCAGATCACTTTTTTCCACATTTTCGTAGATCAGTGCCTGTGATTTTTACACCACTGAACCCTCAAATGTACAATCATTTTGTTATGTCCCTCTCTATGTAGCTATAAATGAACAGCTCTTGTCAAAAAGCTATTTTGTGTAATAGCGTTCTGTGATATAGCTTTTATAGGCAATAAACACTTCAGACCTCTGGTTCCTGTTACCACCACTGTGAATGATTCTGAACTGGTAGGTTTCTCTGAAATGCCATATTTTACATCAAAGCACACTGCATGACTTTGTTTACTTTGTTTAAGAAGTTTAATTGTGCTGAAAATTTGGTGGATTTCCCTTTTAACCCCTTAAATGGTCAGGGCCCACCAGCGGACCCAAAGCTTTACCATGCACTTCTGTAACCTAAGAATAGCTCATCCAGTTTGCATTAAAGTTACTGTAGTTACTGAATAATAAGCGTTAGTGTGTATTAAGCCTATTTTAAGGGGTTAATCATACAAGAAGCAACTGCATAGTTGGTTAACATTTATTTGTTATTTTTGTGTCCAGCACAAATGAAATAACATCTAAGTAACATGGAAGTTTTATCACTGTCAAAAGCAACAAAGTCCAGATCTCTTATGAGCTCAATCGTTCCACTTTACGAGCCCTATGGGTCAACTTCAAGGTCATGGATTAAAAAATTAAATGTAAAGAATTTTCCACTCATCCCAGATGTAGTCGATACATTTAGTGTCCAAATGTTGCTTCTATAGTTCACAACTGGAGCAGCATCGCTAACGAAACACTAGGACTCAATAGTCACCCAAATAGCCCAAACTGTTTTTGTAAAAAATACATCAACAAACTTCTTTCAACCCCCTCAAACCATAACCAGGCCCTCTTTAAAGTCATGCAGACATGTCGCTGTGGTTTAGGACACAGTATGACTTACTGCGAGCTATAAAAAAGTATAAAACTGCAGGTAGCCAAGGGTCTATATTCACAAACCACCTCAGACGTAGAAGTGCTGATCTAAAATCAGTATTCCTGACTGTCATGGGGGCATCTAATCAAAGATCAGTCCTGCTTTGTGAACCCTATCTAAGGTGTTGTCTGAAATGGCTAAGTCATTTGTCATTTAACCAGAAGTCACTGATCACTGCAGAGGTGCTGCTGAAAACCCAGAACGCTGCCTTCAGGTCAGATGAAAAGGCGGCTCTCAGCACAGCAAGAGCCAGCCAGTGCTGGGCTATCAGAGAGGAACTATACACACAGAATCCACAGACACTTTCGAGGCACACCAAAGACTCATGGTGTACGTGGCAGGGCATTCAGGCCATCGCTGACTACACATCTGTGGTGATGTCTCGCTCCCAGAGGCACTGAGAGATTTCTACTTGCCGTTTAAGGCACAAAAGAAATAGCAAGCGAGGAGGACCACCCGTCCTCCTCACCAACCAAGGCTGCTTGCCCTGACAACATACCTTTGCCAGGTGCTCAGGGGATCTGCTCACCACCTTTCGGCTGTCTTCACAGACATCTTCCACTTTTCTCTGAGCCAGGCTGTTGACCCACAGTGCTTCAAAATGGCTACCATCATCCCTGCGCTGAAGAAATTGTCCCAATGGATACCCGTAGCACTCCGATCATCATGAAGTGCTTTGAGTAGTTGGTAATGAAACCTATAAAGGACAGTCTTTCTTCCACACTGGACCCATTCCAGTACACGTATTTGCCTAACCAGTCTACAGAGGATGGCTCAACCTCTGCCATTCACCTCTCACTGACCCACCTGGACAGCAAAGATGAAAGCTGTTTATAGAGCATTCAACACAATCATACCACAGCAACTTATTGGAAAGCTGAGCTTGCTGGGCCTGAATACCTCCCTCTCCACCCGGATCCTGGACTTCCTGACTGAGAGACCTCAGTCTGTCAGGACTGGCAACACCACCTCCAGCACCACCACACCGATCTCTGGTGTTCCCCAGGGCTGTGTGCTAAGTCCCCCACTATTCACACTGCTGACTCACGACTGTGCTGTGCTTGCTGATAATACTACAGTGGTGGGTCTTATCAGCAACAATGATAAGTCAGCATACAGGGGGAATGTTGAGCAGCTTGCAGTCTGGTGCAGAGATAACACTCTATCTCTTAATGTTGATAAAACGAAAAAAGATGATTGTAGACTTTAGAACAAACCACAGTGATCACTCTCCACTGCACATCAAGGGTTCAACTGTGAAGAGAGTTCCTTGGTGTGCACATCACCTGGACCCTAAACATCACCTGCCTAGCCAAGAAAGCCCAGCAGCGACTTCACTTCCTGCAAAAGAGGAAGAGAGCAAACCTTCCATCCTCAGTACTTTCTACAGGGGAACAATAAAGAGCAGCCTGACCAGCTGTCTCACTGCCTGCTATGGGAACTGCATTGTCTTGGACCGCAGGACCCTACAGCGGACTGTGAGGACAGTTGAGAAGATCAGTCAGGTGTCTTTACCCACCATTGACACCTCCTACCACAGGCACTGCATCCACAAGGCCACCAGCATAGTGGACGACCCCTCCTAGCCCTCTCTTGGACTCTTCACCCTCTTGGCATCTGGGAGAAGGTCCCGAGGGGGTCAGATTACTGAATGAACTGATGTAGTCCGAACACACACCCCATAACCCTCTCTGCATTTTACATTCTTTAAATCTTAATCTTTCAATGCTGCTTTGGGACCCAAATTCATGTATATTGTTTTGTGCTCCTGTCTAATGGCGTCATGTGTATTTGTGATGTATATTTATTGTTCTGTTCACTTATTACTTCATGTATTTATTGTTCTATATATTCATTGTCACACTGTTGTGCATCTGCAGTCCTATGCAATCTTATGCTGTTCTGTGGGGCCTGAAGAACGACACTGCATTCAATGACAAGTTTTGGGGATGTATTTTTACAGAAACAATTTGGGTGACTATTAACTTCTAGTGCTTGTTAGCAATGTTAGCCTCGTAGCTCCAGTTCTAGACTAAAGAGGAAAATTTGGACACCAAACATAAGGGTTATGGGGAAAACTGGGTAAACAAACTATTCTTTTAAGCTTAGTCTTGGACTAAATGATCTAAATGGTACTATTTGACCATAAAAATCCCATTTAGTTTAGCTTTAGGCGTTATGTGGGTCTGAGAAACAGGCCCTTTATGTCCTACCTGCCTCCTTACACCTGTTAAAATCCAAAACGAAGCGTATTTCCACTTTCCCCGCCCATTATTATAATTTATCCGCTCCCATTGGCCCAATTCACTGCACCTGTTTGGCTCTTCATCCAATCACACTGGCGGAGCGCCGTCCCAAGATGGCGGCGTCCAGCGCGAAGTATCATCCTCTCACTTTCTGCTGATAAAAACAGAAAGACTGACAGATTTAAAACGTCGAAAAACGGCCCGGGACAACACGAACAGCCCAACCGGGACTTTTAATCACCGAAGTCCGATGTGTGTCACCGGTTCAGGGTCGGTTTTCGAGTGTTTTTAGGGCACAGCTCGGTGTTCTCCAGCCATGGCCACCGAAAACAAACTTCATTTTTGGAGGAGGAACGCAAAGGGTCCCGGAAGGTGAGCTGACCGGGAATTATTAGTTTCTGTGGAGAATGTTTTATAAAGATCTACTTTTCCTGGCGAAGTAATTCAGCACCTGTAGGCTAATTCGTCACTGCTGGCTACTGAGCTCCATTAAACCGGCTGCTACGGTTTCTCTCTCCATCTGCTAGTTCAGCCTCAACCTTACATATATTACACACAGTGAGTCTTTTAGCGCTCATAAGCGCTGCATAAGGAATAGATGGACTCATAAGATCTCTTAAAAGCATGTGAAGTGAGTCAGTAGTGTGCCTAGTTGCAGACAGCGGCGGAGACAATAGCCTAAAGAACAGTTAAAGGGGAATTCCACCGAATTTCCAAATGTTTTCAGTCGTTGGGATGTAAACAAAGTGATTTGGAGTGGTTTGAGGCGAAATGGTTCACTGCAGATGACTCAGATTGCTTTACTTTTCAAGTAAATGCGCCGATGTAGCTTGTCTAATAGGAACCAGGGGTCACAATGTCCACAACACAAAATAGCCAGAAAGGCTGGGAAACCAACATGTGTCTTATGAGTTGTTATATGTAATGTTAAAGGTAAAATAGTGGTGAAGTCAGAAAAATAAGTTTCTTTGTGAGCTATTTTGCCTTACAGCACCCTACATGAAGGTCTACTTCTCCCTCTCCACTGTGAAAAATACCTTTAGGCCGAAAGCTTGTAAAACAACATCTAATTCACCAGGCAACTTATTTATCAGCACTTCATGTAATGACTTTCTGTGAGGGAGCTTTTAGAGGCATTACATTCTAGACGTCTGGTTCCTATCACCACCACTATGGACGATTCTGACTCAGCTAGTTGCACTAAAACATAGCATTTCACACCAAAGCACTCTGAGCGGCTTTGTTTACATCTTAACCATTAATTTATGCAGAGATTTTGAAACATCTGTGGCATTTTCACTTTCAGGTGAGACTTGTTGCTGAATGAAATAATGGCTCATATAAAAGTAAAAGCTACCAGAAACCAAGTTGAGGAAAAAATGATCAGCATGCTAAATTGCTAAATGCTAAGTGTCTGAGCTAGTGCTAAGAAGTACTAAGAAGTACTTTTTAATACTTTCAGCATCGGTCACTGTATAAACTGAAGTTCTTTAAATGCTAATTTTCTTTTTTTGGGAAGCCTTTTGAACTAATTTAGACTAAAAATGAACTGAAATGCTAAAGCTAGGAAGAGATGCCAGTGGTGTGACAGCAAAGAAATTCAGTAGAACCCAAAATTAACCTGAAAAAAGGAATTAGGGATTAGGTTTAATGTGAAACCGAGGAAAATGTAGATTCCTTACAAATATATTCAAGTTAGCATTTGAAAATAAACACTGCTTGCTAAGTAACTGCTTATGGCTCCATTGTAGCTAACTTAGCTGTGTAAAGTTTGCCACTTCTCACATGGCAGCCCTCACAAGTACCACTCACAACTAACTTTTTATATGTTTTAGTATTACGTCCTGTTCCATGAAGCTAGGCAGTTGGGCTGGGCAGTGTGACGATGTTTATCGTTGTTGTTATGAATTATGTTACAGTCTACATGCTGTCAGTGCTTAAATAACACTGACCACCTGCGAGCACATCTAGTCCTGGTTAGGTGGCTTTAAAAGGCCTTTATCATGAGAAGAGTGTGATGTAGTGTATAAACATTGCTAAAATTTTAAAACATGCAGTTCACACGTCAGTCCATATAGGGAAACTAAGCAGCACAATTGAATTGCTTGTTTATGTGAGGTCACAAAAAACCTATTTAAACATATTTACATATATCTGCCTGTTCGGCTTACAGCCTTTCATAGAGAAGTTCTGAGAAATGTTTCAGCCTGGTCTGCTTTTTTTTTAAAAAAAAAAAAGCTTAACACTAATGAAAGAAACTATTAGTGTTAATTTAAAATCTTATAAGGCGACGACACAGATCAAATGAAAAAGATAAATACCAAAAGAGGCACAGAATTTTAATTAAACGCTGAGTTAAAGAGGAACACTTTCAAAAGTTTCTTAAATGTGTGCGCTGAGCTTGACTGTCTAATACAAGGTGGAATTGAGTTCCACAGAAGGTATTTTTGCAGAAGGCCAGTATCTGTAGATCTAAGATCACGTGTTGGAACATAAACACAGAGACATTCTGAGATGTAAACGAGTCAGGTAGCCAGTGCACTTCTTTCAAGATGGGGGTGATATGAGCTCTCTCTTTCATTTTTGGAGGAGGAACGCAAAGGGTCCCGGAAGGTGAGCTGACCGGGAATTATAAGTTTCTGTGGAGAATGTTTTATAAAGATCTACTTTTCCTGGCGAAGTAATTCAGCACCTGTAGGCTAATTCATCACTGCTGGCTACTGAGCTCCATTAAACCGGCTGCTACGGTTTCTCTCTCCATCTGCTAGTTCAGCCTCAACCTTACATATTACACACAGTGAGGCTTTTAGCGCTCATAAGCGCTGCATAAGGAATAGATGGACTCATAAGATCTCTTAAAAGCATGTGAAGTGAGTCAGTAGTGTGCCTAGTTGCAGACAGCGGTGGAGACAATAGCCTAAAGAACAGTTAAAGGGGAATTCCACCGAATTTCCAAATGTTTTCAGTCGTTGGGACGTAAACAAAGTGATTTGGAGTGGTTTGAGGCGAAATGGTTCACTGCAGAGACTCAGATTGCTTTACTTTTCAGGTTATTGAATGCGCTGATGTAGCTTGTCTGATAGGAACCAGGGGTCACAATGTCCACAACACAAAATAGCCAGAAAGGCTGGGAAACCAGCATGTGTCTTATGAGTTGTTATATGTAATGTTAAAGGTAAAAAGAGAGGTTGGAAGTTGAGCATGTAGAAATTAATTATGTTTTTGGTACATAAACACATACCAAAGGCAAAAGTGGACCTCAGAGAGAAAAATGAAGTGCAAGAAAAATGTAAGATATGGGCCCATAGAGTGCCCTGTAAAAATGTCTGGAAGTATTGTGAAGTTATATGTTTTGCTATTTTGCCTAGTCAGCTTTTAGTCAACAGAGGGAATCCACTTTAATTTAATACTGTAAATTGGCGCTCTGTTTTATCTGTTACGCCCCTTGACTGCAATTGACTGCCGTTCTTGAGCCTTTAGGTCAATCAAAATGGCATATTAATAGATCAAAAAATGTAATCAATATGTGTTAAATAACATTCAAATCCATTTTCTTTTGGTGTATTGGTTTTTGATATTTTGTACATGAATTAAACAGAATGCAGATGTCTCTTGGGCCTGGAATCTCCCTGTTCCTCAGTGTTCAAGGTTCACAAGTGTTCATATCTCAGTATTATGGTATCAGAATTAGTGTGCTAACCATTCTCAGTGTTCAGATAAGAGTCGGAGACTTTCTGGAAAGTTTGCAGTGGGTTTTGTATGTGCAGAGCTGGCTGATTGAGGCATATTACATTAATGCTGATTGTGGGCAGAGTGAGCTGATTTTAGTTGCACAGTTGCACCACTTGTAGGAATCATTTTGTTCCACTAGTGGTTGTAATAGCAATGACTTGCATGAATAATGTGTGATGTTCTGAGAGATTAAGTGTTGTGGTTTTTCTTTTCTCTTACTCGGTCCTGCTTTAAAGAGGAAGCCCTAACGGCCACAATGATCTCCTGACATTGACAGCTGTTAGATACTTCCCTTTAGCTGAATGATACTCACTGCTTTATCTTCAGTTCTCATCACCATTTTAGAAGCTACATGCTATGTTGTGTAATGCGTTTCTTGAGTAGCTTGTTGTAGACACTTTTTACCTTTCTACCTTTACCAGAACATGTGTAGATCTAGAATGTTTTGGTGAAGGGCCTCCTTGAGGCTTGTTTGGTGATGTTCTATTACAGTGGTCAGTGTGGGGCTGAACAGTGTATTGTTGGTTAATCACAATATTTTGGCTTTTGTAATGCATGATATTGCAGATGGCTGCAATATGCAAATGAGCAATCAGAATGTATTTTTTTAATGCTGTGTGCTTAAGCATTCTAACCAATCGCAGTTCTAGTTCTAATCGCTGGCTGGCTATCTAGATAGATGGATGGCTGGCTGGTTGGCTAGATGGCTGGTTGGCTGGCTGGTTGGCTAGATGGCTTGCTGGCTGGCTGTCTAAATGGCTGGCTGGCTGGCTGGCTGGCTGCTTAGCTGGATGGCTGGCTAGCTGGCTGGCTGGATGACTGGCTGGCTGGCTGGCTGGCTGGCTGGCTAAATAGCTAGATGGATAGATGGAAAGATGGATAGATGGATAGGCTGGTTGATGATAGACAGATCGACAAATCCTGATACTATCGTGAACCAAAATTTATAGAGACAACTTGAGTTCATTGGTGTAGCTTTGCTTGTCCTGTTAATGTTAGTGTGTGAAATCAAGGCTGGACCTCTGGTACCTTACAAGGACACTTGAAACTCTGTGTTATTTGACTTTTCTTGTTGAACAATGAATAGGGCATGACCCAAAAAAGCCCTTATTGTTGAGCCTGTGTGTAATCAGAGGGTGTCTGAAAACAGTGAGTGTTTGCTGTGGAGGATCCGTTGCAGCTGGAGGGCAGCAGGTGGGGTCCTGCTGTAATGCGAGTGGTCACATGCTCATGTAATTGGTCCTCATGGGGGATTAGCAAATGTGAAAATGACACCCAGCGCTGTTGAGCAACCTCAGCAAAACTGTGTATGTGGTACAGTAGCACAAGGACAGTCTGTGTGGGGACTTTTGAGGGTCATATTATTGATCAATTAGTGTGGGATGGCATTCATTTTAGTATGTAGATTCATGCTGATCTTGTGCAAAGAGAATTTTTAGTTAGTGCAACATCTTATGTATGCTGTTCAGGTTAGAGTTCCCAGTATTTGTGTAGAAGGAAAACAAAACTGATGTGGAGCAGAGAACAGGTGGTGTTTACCGATAATGTCATTTGCAGCTTTACTGAGCCAACCATGTATCTTTTCCAGTTTGTTTCATTTTTATTTTGCGTGTTCGTTTCAGTTAAAATCTTTCTGAACCCAGCTGTCAGGAGCACTTGGATTATGTGATTCCCTTGTGGTTATACATTGTTGCTGTTATAAGAAAATGTCATAACTTTGTCCTTTACATAGTGAGAAGTGTAAAGACCCTGGTCATATGAAGCACAATTCGCCAGCTCATAAAAAGAACAGGCCGACTTGGTTAATCTAAACATCGCCATAGTTCAAATAATGCAAACATGTAAAATTATCCAAACCTTTAGCATGAGAATAACATTGTTTAACACACTAACCTCTTTAGATGAAGAGAACTGATGAAAAATAAGAAATGCAATATTATTTGAGACTGAAAGCCTGACTTTCTGTTGATTGAGAAATATGAGCTGATAATCGTATCATGTAGTAAATCACTGCTTATCTAAAACGTTCAGATTTTAAATTTAAATATAAAATCAGCGGATATTCTCAGAATTTATATTCCAGTTAAACCAGCATCGGACACAAACTTGACTCATAATATTAACAGCTTTTAAGGTACACTGTTAGAAATAAAGGATCTGTGCAGGTACATTTTTTGTTCATCAAGGTACAAACAATGTAAATGTTCTCTCAAAGGTACATCAGTGGTTTTAAGGTCCAGTTGTGAACCTTAAATACGTTTTTCCAGGTGAAAATTTCGTATTTGTACCTTTTCATAATCTAATGTTTTAAAACAGAACAATAAAATGAAAGCCTGGAGACGAGACGGGGTGTGTGGAGTCAATACAGCTTAGAAAATATAATTTCAATGGATTTTGGTACAGTTATGTTCACTGACTAAAGGTATGGAGATGTACCATTGAGGGAACCACTCCAGTGACAAGAGGGATCCTGCCCCAGTGATAGTTTACCTTTTTTTTCCTAAGGGTGTAAGAATGAGAGTTTTAAAGTAAATCCTGATATATTTTCACATATATACTGTTATATGCAACACCCCTGGTCAAATTACAAGTTTTGTTGATTTTCTAAGTGAAAAAAGTTAACACATCCTCCACATTGAAGAAATAGAAATTGTGCACTAAAATTTTCAGAAATCCATATGTGTGATCTCTGTAGAGGATGTGTTAACTTGCTTTCACTTAGGAATTCAACAAAACATGTGTGTTCATACTTTTTGTATGACTGTACATACATACCTTAACACCTACACATATACATCATTTCTGCAAGTCACAGCTGGTTGCAGCTTTTGCTTCTTGACTTCACCGCTGTGTTGCCATGCATATTTACATATGCTTAAAAGGTTCATGCCGAACATCACAGGCTTTCAGAAAGGTGCCAGAAAGAGGACCGGTCCACCAAACATGGATGCGGGCCACCAGTGAAAGTAATTGAGTTTTATATTTGAACAGTTCACCAACCAAGTGGTGAGAGCCGGTGCCAGCTCAGTGCAGCAGATCCAGACAAGAGTAAACTAAAGCCATTTATTATATTGTTGTGTTATTTTTGCAGCTAATGGGACTTTAGTGTAGAGGGCCAGCTATAACACAACGGTGGTGTTCACTAATCACTGTGTGGGGTGGTGGTGGGTGGGTGTGTGTGTGTGTGGGGAACAGGATGGATGCACACCATGCGGTGAAGATAACTGTTGCCTCTGGCGGACTGCTTAGAGGCCAGTTCATTTGCTGCTTGCATATCCCTGTGTAAACACACAGCAAATGAGGGCTGGGGAAGCAGCCTGTTTCCGCCAATTTACATATTTAGAAGATTATTTGTCTTTGTTCAGGTTAAAATTGATGAGAGCCGTATTACAAAGCATTTTGGCAAGAGCACAGTGTGATTTTGCCAAGACTTTTTGTGGTCTTGTGTGGAAATTCCAAAAATATTGCCATCTGAATGTGTTATTTAGCACTGTAATGCAGAGCAAAGATACTGCATTTATCTTCTTGTTACGTGAAGCCAAAGTCCAGGCTATTCTTTCCTCTTTAAAGGAATCTCCAATAGCTTTGAATAAATTGCTCAGTTCATGGACTCGTCACTGCTGTGCCAAAAGTGCATTAGAGCACGATCTGTACTGAGCCAATAGATGTAATTAATGATATTTCCTAGCTCATATTCACATAAATTCCACTGGAAGAGATATTTATGCTTTTATTTGCTGCTCTCTCTCTCTCTCTCTCTCTCTCTCTCTCTCTCTCTCTCTCTCTCTCTCTCTCTCTCTCTCTCTCTCTCTGGGTGTGGGTGGGTGTACAGAACTCTTATTAGACTGTTGTAAGGATGTAAATGATTGACTGATTAAATGTTCACCAACAAATCAACAATTATTTGACGAATACTTTTAAAAAAAAAGATCCTTTAATTTAATATAATTTCCAATAAACTGTTTCTATTTGTATCATTCAAGTTCAGGAGGAACATTTTTGAATTATACGCATGAGGTTGCAGTAGGCAAATGGTTCCGCAAGATAGGCCTGCTAAAAAAAAATAAAACACACAGCTTAAAAAAAATTCTGGATCACTTTTTCTAGAGAATGATTGCACAACTAAAATAATGTATTATATCAGAAGCAAACACTTACAAGTGATAAGTAAAAGGTGTGATGCAAAGCATTACACACGAGTGTGCAAAGTTATAGACCAGGTTGGGGTGTAACGGGACAATGCAGTATTTAAAATAGTTACCTTTACATTACCTGTTTATTACCCATTTTAAAATCAGCGCACTGCGTCTAAAGACATACTCTAACCAAGAACTCCGAAATGATGTGTTTACAAACACTGAGGTTCCTGCTAAAGCCTGAGTAGACTGATAAATCAGTGTCATTAGACAGTTATTAATCTCAGTGATCCTAAACTCTAGAAGGATGGTGGACAGTCCCCTCAGTGTTCGTGAGTGATAAGCTTAGTGTTGGTGTTGTACTGGACTTGTATGCTTTTTGTGACAGGTTACATACATGTTATTAACTAAAATCACATAGCTACTCTTTTTATCTTCAAATTTGCAAGATTAGGTTATCGGGATATGATGAATTGTTTGCTCAGTTCATGAGAGGGCAGTGGGATTATGGGAGCAGCCGTGGGTTGAAGCAAGTAATGAGAGCCAGAATAATGTTGAGAATTTTGTGACTAAGTGAATGTTTCATGAAACCTATAACCAGAAGAATTATGTGAGGAAAGCTGCTGACCAGTAATGCAAAATTTAATACAGTTTAGGATTATTTACTTCGTTTACACGCTATTGCCTGGGCCCTTCTGTTAGTGCTGTGTTCCACAGTCTATACAAAGAACACTTTTTAATCTCTGGCTATATGAATGTAGAAGTCAGTTGATGTATGCTAATAAGTGTGCAAATATTCCAGTAGCTAAGTATTTCACAACGGCTTTGAACGTAGCTCAGCCAGTCAGATTTCAGAACTGGAACTGTCCGTTTCATAATTGGTCTTTTGATGGATCAAGTCCTTGATTTTAGGCTCACAGGCGAATGATCTGTTAGTGATGCAAAGAATTTACCAAAATTTACATCCCAAATGTGATTATTTTTCACGTAAGTGGAAACAATTGATCTAATGCTTAACAGCGTGACCTTCCTTCTTTCTTTTCATTCTGTCTTTCTCGCCCTCTCACTCTATCTCTCCAAACATTTGTTCTCTCTCAGCTTGCAGCCTATCTATGGGGCGCAGTACCCTCCGCTGGACCCGCGGGTACTTCGCTCGTAAGTGCTGCTCTCTGCCTGCTGTCTGCATGGATAACGGCCCTGTCGTGTTTGACTTTGCATCGTTTTCATTCGTTTCAGTTATTGCTGTGGTCGGAGTCCCACTGTGTTGCCCTTTGAGCTCAACTATTCAAGTCGAGAGCATTTAGTTTTTTGTGCTCCCTCTGTTATTTTTGAGAATGTGGTTGAAATTGTTTGTTGAATGTTACATTTTCTGTTCTGCTTTGTATCTGACAAAAAGATCTCAAACTTGTTTCTTTTGCCTTTCCAAATGTTCAGGTTTCTCAAAGACACTCCAAAGACAAACGTTGCGAACATCAAATCAAAGAAGCCATCCACATTCCACGAGTTTGCACGCAGCACTAACGATGCTTGGGACATCGATGATGAAGAAGACAATGACTTCTTCGCTCCAGCACACCCCTCTTCCATTCCCGCACAATCGCACTCCAAGCCTCAAACGCCTCGTCTCAAAGTGTCCAAGCACTCTACTGACACAGAGCCGCAGCCCCAGCCACTGAACAGACTGGAGCCAGTAAGCACAGAGCTCTGCCAAGATCAGCTGAAGATTGACAGTGAGCCCACCAATGGCAGGGTGGTGAAGTCCAATAGTGATGCCCAGCTGAATAGTAATACAGGTATGGTATCCATAATTGAGTTGGCTTGTCCGTGTTTACATTTTATAACATGTGTTTTAATTAATACAGCCACATATGAGCTGTTTCTGTACTGCTGACACATCCAAACACAAGGATAGCAGCATCTGCCAAGCCAGGAGGTGGTACAGCTGCAAGGAAGAGCCTTTCTAATCATAAACACAACCCTAACAGTGCTTTATCATGTAACATATACTCTGTATGTTTGAGGATGTTTTTTAAAATAAATAGGCCATATTTTTAGCTTTTATTACAAATCTGATTTGATTGTGCTGTTGCAAAAACTGTGAAATGGAAGTAACAGCTGACAAAAGTCCTACTTTGAGTATAATGCCATGCATAGGTCCATGCATTTTGTCCCCTTGTTGTGATGTTAGCCCTAATCAGCACTCAAACTGTTTGGGGTGAAAGTGTTTCAGAATGCACTTTTAACAATAGTTCAGAAAAGAAAAGTATCAAGTAATGCATTATTAAACCTATTATTCATACGGCTACTCTTTATTTATTTTTTTTACTAGTGTTGCAAAATGTATTCAAAGTGTCAGCAAACAGCTTTATGCTGTTTTTATGCTGAGAAAACTTTTGCTGTAGGAATACACTGATTATAATTTTTTACAGCTGTTTAAATAAAAAAAAAAAATCAGTTCAATTGAAATAACATGAATAAGATGAATTTCTACATTGAAAGTAGTAGTGGGAGATATATTGGTTCATCTGGTATACTTGTTAAAATTCTTCTTAAGGTCATTCCTTTATACCGGAATACCACAAATAATAAAGCAGTAAGCCCCGAGAGGCCGTGCATTACTGCAATTTTATCACAGGGAAGGGTGTTCTCCGCCTAAAACTCCCTTCCCCGTGATAAAATCGCAGTACGCACTGCGCAAGTGGCTTATTGCTTTTATAAAATGGCACGGCAGCCAACATAAATGTGTATTTTATCATATTTTTTTCAGAAAAGTATTTGAGTTATTAAGAGATAAATAAGTATTCCGCCAAGAAATATAGTTCCTTTAGCATACGGTATTGTTGCCAAGCAACCATGGACCGCTGAATGAGGAGAACATTCGGTCGCCCATTGCTGAACACTGCAGTCATTTCATGATTTTTTTTTTTAACCTTTTCTTGTGTAACATATGATACCACAGCACTGTTCAATGCAGAACTTTCACTTTATAAGTACTCTTGGTCCCCAAATTACCACTGAGTCTTATTTAGCACCAATCCAGCAGCGCTCCTCTTCTCACGCTGGGGCTGAATCTCAAATGGCTCCCTGCTCCCTACATAGTGCACTACATAGGAATTCAAATACTGGATCCTGCAGCCCAACGGTGCAAAATATTGCTAAGAAATAGTCATTTGGGACTCAGACACATCCACACTCGATAAATGATGCACTATTCGGCTGTAGAGGCTAGAATTTCTAAACTTTCATAGCTAGAACACTATTTACGGAGTACGGAGCCATTTGGGATTCAGTCTGGGTTTGGCGCAACTTCTCACTAAAACACGAGCGTTTGAAGTGTGTAATCCATTCAAGTGACATTTTTTTAGACTTTTATTCTGCCTTTTTACAGTTAATTATAGCGTAAGTACTTTAATTCAAGTCTGTGATATTAATGATGGAGTTGTTTGGTCTGGTAGCTATATTTTAGCCTGTTAGCTAGCTGACCAGACATTCTAGTTAAGAGCATAAGTTGCCAGCCCCTCAATTTAAACAAATAAACAGGTTCTTACTTCATCAGTACACTTGGTTGGCGTACACTTAAGCTGTCCCTCAAACATTTAAAGGGGAGTGTATGTGACCTTGTTAAAATAAATTCTGGTCCTGCTGTCTGTTCTGCTCTCTTTTCACGGTTTATTGATGTGTTTCGTGTCCTCCAGTGCGTGGCATGCTTCAGAAACAGCAGTCTCTCCCCGTACGGCCCGTCATCCCACTGGTCGCCCGCATTTCGGACCAGAATGCGTCAGGAGCTCCACCCATGACCGTGCGGGAGAAGACCCGGCTGGATAAGTTCAGACAGTTACTAGCCAGTCCCAACACAGACCTCGGTAAGTGGAAAAGCAAGAAACGATGAGCAAAACAAAACAGCTGAATGAATGTTCAGCTGAATGAGTCAGTCTGTACTTGGGACCGTACGGCCTGCCTGCAGTGTTTTGTCAGTGTTGTAAGTCTTCAGAACGCACACACTGCTGTTTAGGGATTTGAAGACCTCTCAGGTAGAAATATTTAAAGATGGTACAAGCATCATGCAGACGTTGTGCTGCGCACCCCTCGAGCAGGTTAATCTGCCCAACTGAGGTTGTCATTTTGAAGTATCCTCCATGTTCAGTGAACGACTTACAGTGGTTGATGAATGTAGCAATTTGTAGACGTGTGACCTGTAGTCCGGAAAAGTGGCTCTAAATCTGACCCGACAGCTCTCACTTGTGAATTAATATTTTAGGCTTTGCAGGGTGACTCGCAGCAGCATAAGGACACTTTCCCTGCATAGTCAGTAAGGCTGTTTATTTCATTTTTAACACTAAAATATCATGCAATCTTAACTGATGTTACTGATGTCTTCACTTTTTTTTGAGATTTGAAGTAATTTTTTAATTACCGTGACAAAATGTGATATTTTGTATTTCTACAACTTTTAATTAGTATATACCCTTCCTGCAAAAAGTTTGGGAGTCCCTGGACAAATGACGTTTTGTTGATTGAAAATAAGTGAACACATCCTCTACAGAGAACACACATCTGCACATTTTCATGCACAATTACAACATTACATTTTATTTCCTTCACGTACAGTTAGGCCTGTTGCAATCATGAAATTTTAGCTGACAGTTTTATTGCCATAGAAATCATTTTGATTAATTATTCAACTCTCTTCTTTTGTTCATTGTGTTCAACTATTAAAGGAAAAGCTTAAAATGGTGAAATTGCAGCATTAGCTGTCTCTTTTCATGGCTGTTGATACTTAATATCTCCCAAATGGTGATGAACACAGCTTAGTCTTAAATAAACAGACGAGGAATGCATCATTGGAAATTATCCAAGACTGGAATCAGCAGAGCTTTGCTACATGCAGTCGGCCCATTTATTATTTTGATTTTGGGCTTTCTGTGTTGCAGTTTTATTTAAGAAAATAATGTGCTGTATTTGAATGCTACATCTGTAGCAGAATGTTGTAGCATAATTATGCATCACTCAATGTGTTTCCTCTTGCTTTTAATGTAACACTTCATTTGATTCATCGTATATAAATAAGTAACACGTTTTTCATTTAAGATGCTAGTTTCAGTTTAAAATGCTAGTTTGGCTCATTAAATAGGCATATAATGTTATTTGTATTGTGATTTTAGCTAGTAGAAAGTTCTGAAAATGTGCTGGTGTGTTTCATGTGTTCATTTAGCCCACACACTGTGAGCTAAGAGAAAAGGTGCCCAATAAAACTGTCCAGAAAAATTAGCCATCATATAATTTGGCTGTACAGAACTCTAAATCAGCCATAAACATTACTCATGGCAGTTCATCTCTCCACAGAATACGTTTCCACTGCTCTAGAGTCCAGTGGTGGTGTGTTGTTGCTCCTGTAACAGTGCCATGTTATGTCACTCAGCTCATCAGTATGACCCTCTACTACCAGTGTTTGTCTATTAAGACTGCAAGGCTATTCGCTTAATTTTATCCACCTGTGGGCAATGGGTGTGGCTGAAACACCTGAACTCATTAATTAGGAGGGTTGTCCCAGTACTTTTGTCCATATAGTGTATTTAGTGTAAGACTAAGGTCCAATCCCATTTCTTCTTTTTACCCCTACCCCTTGTTTTCGAGTGTCACCCTAACCCCTTGGAACTGAGTTACAGGGGTAGTGGTTGAAATCTTGACCTATGAAATGGGACAACCCTCAAAAAAAAAAAAAAACATTACTTCATTAACAGGCTTCTAGCGCTGCTCTGTAGATGACCCGGCCCATCTTCAGTGATAGCAGAGAAGGGAAAAGTTCAGCAACCTCGCCGCAGGGTTTTAGTTACATTTAGCGCATCAAATGCTTTCAAAGAGGGGGACAATTATTTATTATCGCCTACCGCAAATTCTTTGGTGATACGAAGCTGAAGTCAGATATTCACCAGCTTCTATATATATATTTTTTTTATGCTTTTCATGAAGAAAACGACCATAATACATTGAAACAACATTAAACTAAGATAATACAATGGTTATCGTATTTTTTTAACGGAGAAATTTCTCTCATTTGTGGGTTTCTTTGGTCTCTTGTTCAGCCATCTTGTCGTCTTTTTTTTCTCATAACACTGTTTGGAGTGAGTCTCTGGAAAAAAAATCCCATTTGGAGGGCCATGTAGCCCTAACACTTCACCCTACCCCTCTATCTCAACAATAATTGGGACACCCTACCCCTAGACGTGAACGCGCAAAACAGAGGGCTAAGGACTAAGTGGCAGGGGCGAGGGGTGAAATGGGATTGGGCCTAAGTGAGCCCCTACAAAGAAAAGTGACCTCCATTTCTTTCTTCGAGTTGTAATAGATCTGAACCTCTGCTACATCTGATGCAGGTTTCCTCAACTTTAGTCTGCTGGGAGCCTTTGCATGGCTGTTCTCGCCGATTTGACTCATTATGCTCTTGATAATTAGCCAGTGGATTTAGATGTGCTACGCTAAACTGTGCAGTGCTTAGGTCCCCCAGGACCGTAGCTGAGAAACTCTGCTTTGGGGTCATTCCTCTGGGACCTGCTAACAGAAGCTACAGCAGAAAGCAGTGAAAATGTTCAGAGATTTCGCGATTGAAGTTTGAACCTCTTTCTTTCTTCTCTCTTTCACGTCCCGGGGAATGTGTGTGCCAGGTATGGGCGTGTGTGATGGTAGGAGTGCTGAAGCAGACTGTGTTATTTCAGACTTCCTGGGGTCATGCTGAGAGAGCCTTCTGTTCTCCGAGTCTGTCTGTGTCTCCCTGTGCTGCGATCAGGCTTTTTAAACACACCTCCGAGCTGTCAAGAAAGCTAAAACTAGTCGTCTGTGGGCTTTCGCTCAATAAGGCGCAGAAACTTTAACGATTCGATTACAGAAAGGTGCGCTAGCGCTGTGCCACAGAAGTGAAGTTCAAAGCCCACCGCAGATCACTGTGACTGACAGGATGGAGGAAGAAATCAGTCATCTCTGGAACGCGGTTGACGTTTGGTTGTGTTTGTGTTGGAGCTCGACGGATATGAAATTTTTTGCTGATTTTAAGAAGCTAAATGTTCTGGCTGATATAGATTTATGTGGTCAAAACTTGAACAGACTTGAATGGTTTTAGTTAGAAAGACGTTGAACTGTGAATGGTCAAATGTATTTTATATTTATATTTTTTTTTATTTTGGCCATGATGGTGTTTTGTATTTTTTTTTATTCAAATTTACCTATTCAGTATATTACTGTTTTAAAGGTCATTGGTTAGTGGACATCTTACAATATAGAGACAATCAATAGCCATTTAATAATATAGAATATAAAAATATAATATAATAACTTCAAACACTTTCTTAACATACTTGTTTACATGCTTGTGCTTGTTGTTGATTTGGTGCTGGTTGATTTGTGAACTTTGTTTGCTCAGACAATGTAAATGCAATTGATGCCATAATTAGTGGAATGGCTATTCGCAATGAGGCACGTGGACACATTTTTGGATCACAATATCACATAGATTGTTACACCATTAATATGCAACTATTGCAGTACAAGCCTAAAGTGCCCAAACTGGCTGATTAGCTATGTAACTTCCTCACTTTTGATACTTAAGCCTGAGCCTTTTAAGAGGTTATTACACACTACACTTTTAAAAAAAAGGTGGCTTAAAGTGTTTTTAGTAAAGAAAATGGTTCTATATAGAACAATGGACACTTAAAGAACCCTTTGCATGATTAAAGCGTTCTTTGCATGGTGAAAATGGTTCTATATAACACCCGAAAGGGCTCCTCTGTTGTTACAAGCTTAACACTGTAACAATAGAACACTACTTTTGGATGCTATATAGAACCAATAGCACATCTATAGCACATTCATGCATATTTTCCATCGATCTAAAGAACGCTTTCATGATGCAAAGAACCCTTCAATCAAGCAAAAGGTTCTTCAAGTGTTCATGGGTCTATATATAAAAATTTTTGTTACTAAAGAACCCTTGAAGCACCTTCTTGTTTAGGAGTTATAAGGTTTGTTATTCAGTAACTACAGTTCTAACTGGCTGAGTTATTCTCAGGTTATAGAAGTGTGTAATAAAACAGGCCCCGGCCATTTAAGAGATTAAGAGCTCCTGATAACAGTCACAGCTTGAGCTCAAATAAACAAACATCGCTCACTGCTGCCCTCTAAAGGTGTTACGCCACCGAGTTAGAAGGTAGAACTTTTATTGTTTTGTTGAGCGATGTGCTTTCTGCTTTATTGTATTTACATACATTTGCCTCAACCCAACGGCTGAAACACTCCTACTTCACGTACTGTTCATTGTGATGTGAACATACGGTTGTGAAAGCTCACAACTGTACAAAATAATTGTGGTCAGCCAGTTGTGTAATAGTTGTGACAGGCCTTGCAGTTGCTGCGTTGGGTAAAGACTGCTATAAGAGCACAAAGCTCTTAAAATCCTCACAGTTGCTTTAATAACAAAGCTGTATGTTCATAGCAGTGTGATAAATAAGTATGAGTGTGTGTTTCCGTGATTGTTCAAAAATTTGGAATCCCTGTTTTTAATAGTATAACATCAGTTTGTTGAAGATTCTAATATAATGCCACTCCAATATTTGGACAGATGTCATTTAATTTGTATGAAGCTGTAAAATGAAATTAAGGAATGTTAGATGTGAATAAGGAACAGGGCTGTAGATGATGCTAAGATGACTAAGAAATCTGTGTAACGTTGAGGATGGAAGTAAAATAAATATCCCACATGCCTCAAATGGGAATCACTGAGCAGATGAACATTGCAAATAGATAAAATAATAATATATCTTGAAATATTGATAAAATACTTTCTTTTGTCTAGCTTATGGTGCCTCAGTCCACACTGTATCAATTATTATTGAATAAAACAGGGGTACACAACTGCACTCCTGGAGGGCCAGTGTCCAGCAAAGGTTGGTAGGTTCTCTACTTAAGCGCACCCACCGAACCTGGCAATTAACATGATTGTAATCAGGTGTGTTTGAGCAGGTAAATCACCAAATTGTCCTGGAGTTTTAAACCCTGTAATAAAATAACTAAATATAAATATGAAGTGATTAGATTTTGAGTACAGTGAGTGTGAGTACAGGACCTGTTAGTCACAGAATCTTGAACGCCGTTGTTTTTTAATGACTTCTCTAACAGACTCTTAGTTTGTCTTTGTTTTACATTTGGCATGCGCCCACCGCCATCCGTGTTGTGGGAGGGGGTGTTTGATACCGTCTTTCTGATTGTTTCAATTCAAAGTTACCCAAGAGCAGTCGTACCATATGCTGCTCAGCAAGTCCAACAGTGGTCACAGAGAGGGAAAAAAAAAGAAGTTTTACATAATTGGTTACAATAACCCTGAGGGTTTCATCTGAGTTTTTAAAAGATGGCACTCCCGCAGCGGCTGCCTACTAATTAGCCAAATTAATTAATTAAATTACCCACCTGTCATCTTTTGAGAATAATGCACCTCATCTGAAACGGCACAGAAAACGGAAGGTTCCAGAACGGCAGATGGAATCTGAGCTTCAGAAACTTAGTCAGTGTGAGAGGAACGTCCAGGCCGGTGTGTTGATGATGTTTGCTTGGAGAACCAGAGGGGGGAGCATGAAACACAGAAATGAACTGCAGAATGTGCTTTGATACAGCTGGTTTGCTCTTGGTTTCTCCTAGAAAGTGGCAAGCTTGGAATCACAATGAGAAATTCGCAATCAGAGGAAAGAAAGAAGGGGAAATAAACATGCAGAGTCATGCAGCGGACAAATCACAGTAAAGTACATAAGGCAGTGATGGTGGTTTTTAGCTGTGAGGCAGGAAGAAGTGTGTTTATTCTGAACAGGTTTAATGGTGTTCTGACTTTTTTTTCAGGTCACATTCTTGCCAGTCTTTGTAAACCAAAGTAATATTCATTCTTATTCATTCTGTGATACGTTTTGCCATGTTCTACCCAAAATGAACAGATGATCCTTCGTGAAGTGCTTTAATAATTATATATTCATTAAGAGTAGCTCAGAGTCAACCATGCATGTAGTACGAACTTCATTCTTTTTTTAAGTGCTACCAGAGTACTTCTGATGTAAAATACGAAACTTTGTCCAAGGAAGTTGAGAAAGGGAGGTACTTTTATCCAAATGCTTTTCATGCTCATGAACAACACAACCAATATAGTGGAGATTGAAAGTTTAGAATTTAGTATTTTCTATATTTCTGCACAAATTTGACCTAAAACTTCATCGGATTTTCATATAAGAGTAGATAAAGAGAACCTAATTAAACAAAATATTAGACTTGGTCATTTATTTATGGAGGTAAATGATTCAATATTACATAACTGTGAGTGGCAAAAGTATGTGAACCTTTGCGTTCAGTATCTGGTGTGACCCTCTTCTGCAGCAACAACTGCAGTCACACGTTTCCGGTAACGGTTGATTAGTCCTGCACATCGGTGGAGTTTTAGCCCATTTCTCCATACAAAACAGCTTCAACTCTGTAATGTTGGTGGGTTTCCTCCCATGAACTGCTGCTTCAGGTCCTTCCACAACATTTCTATAGGATTAAGGTCAGGACTTTGACTTGGCCATTCCAAAACATCAGCTTTATTCTCTTTAACCATTCTTTGGTAGAAAGACTTGTGTGCTTAGGGTCGTTGTCTTGCTGCATGACCCACGTTCTCTTGAGTTTTAGCTCATGGACAGATGTCCTGACACTTTCCTTTAGAATTTGCTGGTATAATTCAGAGTTCATTGTTCCATCAATAATGGCAAGCCGTCCTGGCCCAAACCATGATACTACCACCACCATGTTTCACAGGTAGGATAAAGTTTTTATGTTGGAATGCAGTGTTTTCCTTTCTCCAAACATGACGCTTCTCATTTAAACCAAAAAGATCTATTTTGGCCTCATCTGTCCACAAAACATTGCTCCAAAAGCCTTCAGGCTTGTCCATGTGATCTTTAGCAGACTGCAGATGGGCAGCAGTGCTCTTTTTGGAGAGCAGCGGCTTCCTCTTTGCAACTCCGCCATGCACACCATAGTTGTTCAGTGTTCTCCTGAGGTCCTGAATTTCCTCCCTTTGTATACAATCTGTCTGACTGTGGATTGATGGAGTCCAAGCTCTTTAGAGATGGTTTTTAACCTTTTCCAGCTTGATGAGCGTCAACAACTCTTCTTCTGAGGACACAGAAATCATGTGCCATGATACGCTTCCACAACCGTGTGTTGTGAAGATCAGACTTTGATAGATTCCTGTTCTTTAAATAAAACAGGGTGGTCACTCACACCTGATTGCCATCCCACTGATTGAAAACACCCGACTCTAATTTCATCTTCAAATTTTCTGTTTGTGTGTGTATGTGTGTGTGTGTGTGTGTGTGTGTGTGTGTGTGTGTGTGTGTGTGTGTGTGTGTGTATATATATATATATATATATATATATATATATATATATATATATATATATATATATATATATAATATATACACACACACACACACACACACACACACACACACACATATATAATATAATATATATATATATATATATATATAAAATGTACATGTATGTGCGTGTATGTATGTGTATATATGTATGTCAGGGTTCGTACGGTCATGAAAAACCTGGAAAAGTCATGGAAATTTGCTTCACAAATACCTGTATATGACGTTCAGTTAATCGACCGGGAAAATGTATATTGGTTAAGCAATACTTTAATGTTGAATAGATCAGTCACGTCACTCGACACTGTTGTTCTCTGTGTGGGGTAACTTAACGTCAGACTCCGACCTGAGTTGCAGCTTGAGCTTTGACCAGGTGTAAATTCACGCAATGCCAGGAAAATGCAGATTTAATAATGGTTGGCTTCATTTGGACAAATATAAGGCATGGCTTAAGAAAGACCAGGACCCGGGAAGTGCAAAATGTGCACTGTGTAGTGAAACGTTCGACATTTCGAACATGGGAGAAGCAGCGCTAGCTAGCCATGCTAAAGGAGCTAAGCACCAGGCTGCCGCTTCTGCGCGCTAATCAACTCTCAACCCCATCACCGGCTTTTTCCCCCCAGTGACCAACATGACACCCTCTGCCACCTGCAATGTTTCCCTCTCGTCCGCCATCAAACAAGGCGCCATTTCGAGTGCTGTGTCCGGAAACGAAGCCCTAACTGCAGAGGTACCGTGGGCGCTAAAGGTTGCTAATTCTCACTATTCCTACAAGTCATGTGAAGGCACAAGCCAGCCTTTTCAGGCCATGTTGTTCCCTGACAGCCAGATAGCCGCCAGATTTGCGTGCGGTGAACGCAAGTGTTCATATATTTGTACCGTTGGTGTGGCTCCTTATTTTAAGAAACTGACCTTGTCCAAAGTATCGAAGCACAGATGGTCTGTCCTGTTATTTGATGAAAGCCTGAAGCACTATTTACAGACTAAACAGTTAGACATAAATTAAATAAATGTTTACTTCTGTATCAAACCACATAGCTTGTCATTGATTTTGATTGATATATTGTGATAAATTTTGACAGATTTTTATTCTTATTCTTCATGTTTACACAGACGTTTCAGAATGTATGGTCATGAAAATTTGCCTTGAAGGAGAAAAGTACGGAGCCCCGCTGGTGACATCCTATTATTATTATCCTTATTAATGTGTGGGAATGAGATCCTAATGTGTGGCCACGACTTAGTAAGTCGTGGCCACGCATTATTTTTATTTATACAGGATGTCACCAGTGGGGCTCCGTAGAAAAGTCATGGAAAAGTCATGGAAATTTATTGGTAAAAATGTGTATGAACCCTGTATATGTATATGTGTTCCTCAAAATTATCTTATACAATACCATGTAAAACAAAACAGTCCAATCAAAAATAAACTGTGTGAAGTTTGTAAGACAACGTGTAGGGTGGAGTGCCAGTCCCCACGAAGTAGGAGTTCATTAACTTTATTAATGCAAGCTTTAATACCATTAAATACCATGATTTATTAGGGAAATATTGTTTGTTTTTTGTATGTTTTTTCTTTTTCTTTTCTTTTACACAGTCAGTTTGCCATAACTTATCACTCAGTAGTGCTTTGCATAGTTACACTGTTTCAGTCTTAACACAATGTTCAACACGTCACAATAATAACACTTCACCACCTACCGCTCCACACTTCCTATGTGCAACGTGTTGTTTTCAGTTCACTTCCACACAAGAGGGGAATCATCTGTAAAGTGAAGCTAAACTTTTTCATTCTGATTTCACTTTTCAGCGGAGCGCCAGCCTTCACTGGTAAACTTTGCGTCGTAGCTTAATTGTCAACGGCATAGCAATTACTTTCGAAATCGATGCATGGTTATGTCGCATCTTTCTCAGCGGAGTTAGCATAGATCAACCTGGCAAGGCGATGCAAGGTGTGATTGCCTTTACTAATTAAAAGTAATTGTTTATTGACGATGAAATGAAACGATGAAGGACGTTGTAAATAAACAGGGCCATATCTCGCCAAAGTGGCTGAGTGGTCTGTTTTATTCTGATCACTGTGCACGTATTTTTACCATGCCTACTCGAATGATCTGTGCTGATTTACTATATATTAGTATGAACTATTGATTTGTGCATGTTGTTAATACTTGAGGTGTTTGCCTGGGGTCTGTGATTCATATTTTATGTGTGTGTGTGTTGACAGAGGACTTGCGGAAGCACAGCTGGTCGGGAATCCCACGAGAAGTGCGGCCCATCACTTGGAGACTCTTATCAGTAAGTGTAGCACCTATGCACTGCACCAGCCATTAACTACAAACAAACTGCATGTTAGAAGCTGTTGGTGTTCTAAAGTTTTAGTTCTGGAGTTAGTTTGCTTTTTATTTTATGCTTCATGGTATGTGTCAGGCATACAGCATGCAGCAGCCTAGCCAAAGGTTAACTAAGTTAGCCAAATGCTAAGTGATATTAGGCTTATTTTTGTTTAATATGAAAGTTTGATATGTGCACTAGTCTAGATGCTCATTCACTCTATAAGCAATACAAGTTTAACTATGAATAAAGCTCCATTCTGAATGTTTGGTTGCACTGCAACTTTATACTTTAGGCTCAGCTATTATGTAGTCGGTATTAAAGAATTCAGCTTTAGATGCCTGTGATAAAGTTTTTATTGTCATCTGAACCACTGAGATACTTAAGCTGTACAGAAAGTGCTAAGAATATTCCTCAGTTAGTATGTTGCACTCTGGGGAAATAGAGACAGTGGAAAATGTATTGTTCTGTACTCTACTAGCTTATTAATGCCCCATCATAAGCCATTGTTTGAACAGTGAAAAGGAATAAAACATTCATTCAAGGTTGCAGGTTGATATAGTGTAGTGGGTAACACCTCTGCCTTCTACACTGTAGGGTCCAATCCCCCACTTGGGCAAGCAATACCAATAAGAATCCTTAGCCAAGACTCCTACCTCTACCTTTGCCTACCTGTATAAAATGATCAAAACAAGTCGCTCTGGATAAGAGTGTCTGTCAAAATGCCATAAATGTAAATGTACTCTGTTGATACAGTAGAATATATTTGGAAGACCACTTCTCATGATGTATCTTGAAGGTGGAAGGAAGCTTTTGAAAAACTAATCTGGAAATCTGCTCTGGGGTGAATTTTGGGGGTGGGCTGTTTTACATTTATTTTTTTAGCTGGTGAATGTAGAGAACAGGCAGATAGATAAGTTACTGCAAGGATGCTGAATATCTTTTTGTAGCTTTATAACTGTGGTAACTGTCATCAGATCAGTATTTCAGTGGAGAGAATGGATTACTCAAACAACAGAAATGACTCATTAGCTTTTAACTTGTCTTCCTCATCTAAAGTTGGCAACTTACTGTCTGTCTGGATAACTTCATCAGTTTGGGTCAATTTCTGTGACGGAAAAGGTAAAAAAAAAACCTTTTTGTGCCGAATAAAGGATCGGTTTTCTTTGTTTTTGTTTCATACCAAGGTAAGAGTAACACTAATGCTAGCTCAGTTGTATTTATTAGGCTGTAGCTCAGTAGGTACATGGATTTACCATGTGGTTTTGTGCTAAGAGAGCAGCTAACCCAAGCTTAGCCTCTCAGTGAATAATGCTGCCTTATGCTAACTGTACACTAGAAGACTTTGAAAAGACTTTTGAAAGACTGAAGTCTGGCACCCTCTCACATCTAAAGACAGTATCACGGTTTTTAGTCACAGATTATGATTTTGAAAAGACAGGAAATCTTGCAGTGTCAGTATTTACAAGACTGCAACTAGACTTTTGAGATTATTTCCCATCATGCACCTGGTGGAAATATACAAGCAGAGAAACCCTTTTCCTTTCACTCTGTAGTGGTACAGATGGGAAGATACATTGGCTGAGCATGTAAAGAGCTGTGGCTCCGCCCAGTTCACTGTAACACTGTATATTCTGGCAGATCATCACCCAGAATCTTTTAATTAACCTGTAAAATGCGCTGTTACTTTTTTATTTAACAGAAAGATTTACACATCAACACAACATGCAGTGAATCAGCCTTGTTGATTGGATATTATGCACTAAACCATAAAAAACAGTGTAACAGAAAGCAAAAAAAAAAAAAATAAAATAAAAAAATAAGGAAAGAATTCTTATTCTTCGATAATGCCATTCTTAAAGTCCTGAAATATTAAAGCAGTCAGTTTACATTTTAAGTTAATATGATTATTGTATTAAAGTGGAGCAGATTTGCCATTTTTACAGAGATTTCAGGCACTCACATGTACATTTTCTCTCTCTCTCTCTCTCTCTCTCCACCCCCCCTCTACCGCACCTGCGCTCACCCGCAAGGGCTCACGCACGCCCCTATTCACGCGCGTCACTATTTGCATGAGCCAAGACTTAAAACTTACGATAATATTAAACACCGGTTGATTTTGTCGCAGCGTCAAGACAAGAAAAGGACTGACTTAAGACCACCATCTTCACCACCTTACACTAAACGATCAAGATGACGCAAGCGCGACACAACTCTAGCAAGACTCTCATGATTTTATCCCGACATGGATATTTGTCTGCGACAGTGAAATCGCTTGAAAAGTCGTTTGGTGTAAGGCCGGCATTAGTAAACACTGTTAGCGTAGGATAACTTCACCATCTCACCTCGTTATCTCAGTATAACATTTTTTTCACTGTTTCCAGGATCCAGTGATTCGCAGCAGTGTAAACAAACATGGCTGGTTGACTTGTTATTTATATAAATAAAAATCTTAGTTTAAACCTTTATATTTGTCAGTGAATACAGCAATTGGAAATCAGCCGTGTATTAAAACGTGCAAAAAAGGGGAACCTTATCTGACATTGTTCTCATAAATCCCGTTGATTTCCATAAAGTTCTGCAGGTGACATGTAGCTGATGCTATGCAAATATTGTATTTTAAAGCTGCGACTATGTGCATGCTAAAACAGTTCACTCTGATTGGGCTGTGGAGATACTTGTGAAGAGGTTACTTAGGAGCTGTCACAATCGATTATTTAAGTAATAGTCATTTTTTTAGGGCCAAACAATAAAAATTGACTTAAATAAGCAATAACACACCACGCGTAGTCTTCCAAAGAGTCCAGAATACCTCACCGGAAAAAGATAAACAAGGAAGCTATTACAAAAATGATTAAAAACTCTATGAATGCATATAAAAATGTGTCCATAAGGCTGTGCTTCTTACTGAAAGAGGGAGCAGTTGGAGAATTTCAAATATGCATTATGATCTCGCAAATTGGCGACTAATCACTATCGATGGATTGAGAACTTACATTTCAATCAAGCACTCAAGTTTGATTAATCAACCCTCATTTTAATATTTCTTTACAATTTCTTTGCAAATCAGTTTCCTTTTTTACTTAAAGAGCTTTCAGCTGCTTTGTTGATTATAGTTTTAGCTTGCTAATTATAGCTTATTGTAAACAATGGAAATAATGAAATGCTTTCCACTCTTGAAATCTTGCACCCATTTTTAATCTGTGCTCAGCCAGAGCCTCAAAGTTTGTAGGGATTTTTCCCCGTTGAGCACAAATCCGCCACAACTGAACTAAAAATATAAGTTTAATGAAACTCTTTCTCTGACATAGCCTGCCATTTGTGTGCCATGACTGTGGTCCATTTCCCATTTTTCATTAGAGGTACCTCTCTTGTCCATAAGCCTTGGAAAATAAACTCTAAAAGCACTTCATTAGACTGGATAGTGTTTTGTTATGACTAGAAATAGCTTCAAAACAGTTCGCACATGATTTGGACCATTAGAGGGAAGAATGTTTGAAAGGCAGTTCTACAAGCCTGGTTTGCGTTTGTAGAGTTTGCTCGTATTGTCAATAACAAACAGCTCCAGGCAGCGCTGTAAAGTGAGTCTCCACCCATGCTTAAACAGTACTGCTAGCCTCCTTAAGCCTCCCCTGCTTCATGCAGCATTTGCAAGAGGATTAGACACGAAAGCCTAATTCCACATTTATAAGCTTAAGGAAGGAGCCATGCAGTGAATGAGGCTTTTAAAACTGCACACAGCGTTTTTCATGCCATGCCTTTTCATTTAGTGTCATGCATACGCAAAATAAACCTTTTGTTGTATTTACATATTTACACCGATAATTTGCATTTAATTTGTTCTTCTGTCGATGTGAAGTGCTCAATAGCCATTGGAAGAGCAAACATGGAGCGATGCAAATGAGTCGTGAGTGCGTGTGCTCATCACACGCACTCGAGGCATCAGAGGAGAGTCGATGGAGTGTTGGCTAAGTGATTCTGAATCGCAATCATTATTTATACATCTCCAGCGCTTGGCAACCGTGCGTTTGTTCCCGTGAAAACTCATTAAAACAAGAGCTGGGGTGGAGAATGGGGAGAGAGAGAGGGAGGAGGATGGAGAAAGCCATGAGAAAGAGGAGGTGAAGAAATTAAACTTCATTTCGAGTCATGATGACTCTTGATTTTCCTAACAGGAGCAACAGGATTGAAGCTGAAGCTTATGGCGTTCTTAATTACTTTCATGCCAACTTGTCGCATTACGGCGAAATTCGCCATTTTGAGTGATGAATATACTATTCACGTGAATTATGTGGATTTGATGAGATTTTAATTTCAGAAAGGGGGGTGCCAACAGAGAATTCTGAAGGAGAATCCCTCCTCCCCTCCAAACACAGCACATCAGCAGTACACCGTCATTTTTTTGGCCAACACACAGATATACAGACCAGCTACTTCACCAAGTACATTGTGTTTACACTCTTTGTCCATTTTATCAGCTCCACTTACTGTATAGGTGCACTTTGTAGTTCTACAGTTACAGACTGTCGTCCATCTGTTTATCTGCATACTTTTTAGCCCCCTTTCACCCTGTTCTTCAGTGGTCAGGACCACCACAGAGCAGGTATTATTTGGGTGGTGGATCACACTCAGCACTGCAGTGACACTGACATGGTGGTGGTCTGAGTGGATCAGACACAGCAGTGCTGCTGGAGTTTTTAAACACCTCAGTGTTACTGCTGGACTAAGAATAGTCGAACAACCAAAAACATACAGCCAACGGCGTCCTATGGGCAGCGTCCTGTATGTGATGACCGGCACACACTGTGCAGCAAGAGATTTTACATCTACAAGATGGACAAACCAGGTAGATGCGTCTGATAAAGTGGACAGTAAGCAGACACAGTTTAAAAACTTCAACAGTGCTGCGTCTGATCCACCCAACCAACACTGCAACACCATCTGCTATAATCCGATTACCACAGGTATATCTTTTACCCAGCGAAGATGACATAACAGTTCAAGTTGGACAGCTGAGATGTACAAAGGCAAGAAAAACAACATGGCTAACTTAAACTTAAAACAGTCAGACATCCTAGACTAAAGCATGCTGCCATGATGGGCATGGAAAAAAAAAGTTTATGGACCATTTATATCTTACCTTTTGATGACTTTGTGTTAGACATTTGCTTTGATATTCTGAGTAAATGAGCATTGTAACTACCAAATTTACAGACCAAAGGCTTTTTAAACACAAGTTGATGTTTTGTAAATTCGTTTTTGGTTTTGGAAAAGGGTAGAACATGCCATAATGTACTGTCACAGTCTCACTTGTATACATCCCTGAAGCGCATCTTTTAACCACAGCTGGAGCTTTAAATTCTAAATAAGTGCATCGACATGCTGCTGAACCACTGAAAGCTTGATGGCAACGGTTACTAAGCAGTTATTCCAATATCAATATATTTCAGATCATCATTCATCCCCACATGCATTTATTATGGGAAATTAAAAGAATAGTTAAGCTAAAAATAAAATGTATAAATTATTGGGCTTACCCCAAATGTAGTTGATCAAACAAGGTGTATTTGGTGTCCGAAGTTTCTTCTTTACTTCCTTATGTGTTTTGACACTATGTGACTTTCTCTTAGCTATAAAAGTGAAAAAGGTTATGAAGCATGCTAGCTAGCTGTTGTTTGACATGTCACTGAAGGTCTGCTTTACCTCTGATCTGAATGGTCAGCACAAAAGACAGCTGCACAGGGTGCGTAAAACACGAGGCACTGAATGCACAAAGACAGAGACCAAAATATGTGTTTATTGGTCCTCAAAACACATACAGTGTGAAGCCCTATTACATAAGCAGTTTGGATAATGCTAATTAGAGGGTTATAAGCTTCCTTAACTTGTTAGCTACATTAGCCTTGTATCTCCAATACAAAACTAAAGAAGGAAAATCTAGACACCAAACATGTCTTGGACCTTTAAGGCAAATTGGGTGAAGTTTCTTTTTTGCTGAACTGCTCCTTTAGAGATAAGTAGTAAAGTCTATGTTTAGTTTCTTAACAAGCTTAACAAGCATGGTGGGCATTGGTCCTGGACAGTCATTGAATTTGAAGAGCAACAAGAGAACAAATAAATTTTTTTAACAACTTGCCTCGTTAACTCTCTCTCTCTCTCTCTCTCTCTCTGTCTCTGTCTCTGTCTCTGTCTCTGTCTCTGTCTCTCTCTCTCTGTCTCTCTCTCTCTCTCTCTCTCTCTCTCTCTCTCTCTCTCTCTCTCTCTCTCTCTCTCTATTTCAGGGCTACCTCCCTGCTAATATGGAGCGTAGGGAGCAGGTTCTCCAAAGGAAGAGAGAGGAGTATTTTGGCTTCATTGAACAGTATTACCACTCCAGAACAGATGAGCACCACAGAGACACCTATAGACAGGTAACACCCTGCAGGGCTCCAGGCTGCCAGCACAAAAACAGCTTTATTGAGGAACGCAAAGAAAGACACGTCAGCTGAACACCGCTAACGATGGCTGCTGGGGTTCCAGCAATGAGTCTGCTGCTGACTCGCTAATGCACAGTCACGATCTGTGATATGTTTAGAAATGGCCATCAAATATTAATGAAGTCTTTGGTTTAACAAAGACTTTGCTTCGTAAGTCTCTGGGCTCAAGCATGTTTTGTTCAGACCTCTGTTTTGACTCTTTTAACCCCTTGAAGTCAAGATTTCTTATTGAATTTGGTATAGTATTTAAGTATAAGTATGTAGTATTTAATTACGTACTTATGTTATGTAAGTATATCGCTGTTGTTGGAAGAAAACCTTGTATCTCCAAAATGATAACTTTTTACAGGGGAAGGAAAAACATACTTCACTTTTAATGTAAGTCAATGGAACCAGAATTTTTTCCAAGTCATTCTGGGTCATTTCTTTCAGTCCATTCATCATGAAATTTACACCCAATGTAAAGAGCCACAGGCATTTTCAAATTATGCCAAAAACTGAAAAATGTCAAAAATGGAGATACAAGGTTTTGTTCTGACAGCAGCGATTATGTGTGTTATGCAGTGGATTATACATTTAATTAACACTGAAATAAACGAAAGAGGTTAGAAAAGTGCACTCAGATCTGTTGATGCAATCAATGTCATAATAACTTAGGGAAAAAGGGTAAAAGATGGTTTTATTTATACAACAATAACATTCCAACAAATTCAAATAATAATTAACATCTTCTCTTATACTTATAAACACAAACATAGTATCAACTGAAAGTTTAAAATCCATTCTTTTGACAGAGTTTCTCTTATTATTTTAATGAGCGCTGAGTAAGAGGCATTTTATACACACGTGCAGTCAAAAATTTGGACCCACCTGACTGAACATACATTTTGATTTTAAGGCAAATGAAATTTCTTTCTAATAGTGAAGTTTATGCCTTTGTATGAAGTTATATCCAAAATAGTCATTTTAAATTCAAATTCAAAACATGAAAAAAATCCAGTACTGTGCAAAAGTCAAAGATCACTTTTCATTTTTTATGTTTCCAGTCAAAACAGCCATTAAGTACGTTATTCATTCTTCATTGTCAGGGAAGAAAAAAAAAACAACAGAAAACACATATTTAACAGAATATTACACTGAACCTTCAACAACTATGTAAAATATTTTGTTTCCATTATTTTCAGGTAATTTTTAGTTGTTCAGTGAAATCTGCAGGGATATTTTTCACACTTCCAAAGTTCAGTCTAAGAAGTTGGTTGCATTTTCTGCTACAAGTAATCCCAGACACTTTCAGTTGTGTTGAGGTCTGGACTCTGGGGTGATCAGTCCATTGTTCCGAGAACACCAGCGGCTGCTTTGGTTTGATTTGTAAATGTTCCTTCTTTTTTGTTTATTTTCTTAATGTCTTCTTGACAGCTACACATCCTTTCAGACCCATAGCGCTGAGTTGTCTTCTCACAGTTGAGGGATGGACCCTATATATTTTACTGTTTTTTTTTGTTTGTTTTTTTTTGTGCTCCTGTTTTGGAAACTGAAAAGTTTTTTTCACTTTTTACTTTCCCTCATGCAATAGATCCTCCTCAGAAATATCTCCTGAAAAGTGAATAACTTGTACTTAACTGCTGCTTTGACTGGAAACTTAATACATGAAAAGTGGTCTCTGAATTTTGCACAATGCTGTATGTGTTTTCCAGCATAAACAAGGCCTCTGTGTATTATCTGTTGGAAAAGAATCTCAGGTGGCTCCTCATGAAGCTGCTCGAGAGAACGAGTGACGCTCCATCAAAGTAGGACTATTGTCTAGAATTTAGATTAGAAGTTAGTTTGAATTATTTGACATGTATTTTAAAGTTTTGAAGAGGTTCACTGTTATTCTACAGTTCTACAGTGTGAAAAGCAGTAAAAATGATAAACAATTTTATGATCAGATGTGTCCAGACTCCAAACTTTGACCATGTGTTTTTAATTGCTGGCGATAAATGTGCCTTCCGAAGGTCATTTAAGAGGATACATCGAAGCCAGACTGTTTTAACCAGTTTTAATTGCTTTGGTGCCGTAGAGAGAGTTAGTCCTTACTCTTTCTAATTTGCAGTAGAGAATGATTTTGAGTTATTAACAGTGTTGGAATATTTCACGGTACTCTGAAAGTGCTGAGATGTTGTATGCAGGGTTTTTAGTGTAAATTGGAAGTGTTCAGCGAGGCGTGGACGCTGAGTACGGAGTAGTTTCTCGGGCTAGGTCGAATAACAACAAGGACAAGGTCGTGGAAAATAAACACAGTAACTCTCAGCCAGGCTGTGCAGGAACCTGCAAAAAAAAGTTGTTAATAAATGGAGCTTATATAGCGAGTGTTATTAATGGAGGAGCCAAAGATCGATAAGCTTATGTGTTGTAAAGTCAGGTTAATGGTGCAGGACTTGGACTCGACGGCCATTTGCCTTATTCCCTGCTTTCCACTCTGCTGTTCTGTTGGGTCGGGCTGGCCGGCGGCCGCGGGCACCTCATTTCTTCCTAGCGCGGCACAAATGAGCAGCGGACCTTTAGGGCTATTTATGAGGTTGTACTGGGGTGTTTGAATGGCCCCTGGCTGTATGCGCAGAGACACTAAATGACCTTTTAGTGTTGACACTGGCTCAACAGCAGGAGTACCGCCACACACATGAGCGCACACACGCTGGACTCTGCTGGACTCCAATGACCTCTCTCTGACCTGACCATATGCAGGCATTTCCATTCCAATACCGCTCAGAGAAAGCGGCTCGCTCCAAAATGACCCATTTTAAGAAGTGTCATTAGAGAGAGGAAAGCGGCTAATGTGCTCATCGTATTTACATTTTTAACCCAGTTTTCTGGCCTGGAGATTTGCATTTGTGGTAATGCAGAATTTTCAGTAGCTGCTTAAGAAAACAGTGGAATAGTATTGAGGTGTTGACTTCTCTTAAAAATGAAAGTTCCAGGAAGGGTTCTTTGTGCGAAGCCATAGAAGAATCAGTTTTGGTTCCCTAAAGAACCTTTAAGTGGATTTCTCGTTAGAGAACAATTTCTGTAAATGATGTGTGAGAAGTTTAAAGAACTTCCACTTAATATAAAGGTTCTAGAAAGAACCTTTGAATTGGTATAGAACCTTCTACATTATGTGAAGATTCTTCACGTTCACAAGGTTCTTTTTCAAACGTGGTTCTTTAAGTGGTTCGGCTCTGACGTCACTCAAAGAACCCTTTTTTTTTGAACATCTTTGTATTTTTAAGTGTAGAGCAAGTTGGTGTTAATTATAGTGGTAATTAAGTAACCTGAGTTGTCGTTGTTATCGTTGTCGTTTTTGTTGTTGTTAATTACTTGATTAATTGATTAACTTATTGACTGATTTAATAAAAATGTACTCAACTGTTTAACACACAATGTATAACATTGCAGAGACTCCAAAATACTGTAAAAGATAAACTAGGAAGCTTCTAGGACAAAACACTACTGGCAGAAATCTTTTTTTTCTGATTTTTGGACAAATTGCTTGTATAACAGGTCTTCTCTTGAACTGTGTTCATAAAAATATTCATAAAAGAAAAACTTAGCTGAAATAGTTCAGTGTGTATTGTCAGGTCTAATCAACTCACATGTTAATGTATTTTCCAAAGGTGTCCCTCACACATACCACACATATACAAACACACAGACACACACACTAACAGCAGGCCACGTAGGAGAAGACCAGAGTGAAGGGACACAGCACCTCCACACTTTTATTCCCTGTGTTTAAATACTATATAAATATAAATGTGTGGGGGGTGAACAGTATTAAGTCGTTGAACGTTTGTTATTTTATATGTTCTTGAGCAAAATGAGCAAAGGCCAAGGAATCTGAGGCTGAAATAATAATAAACCGCTTCATTTTTTCTTTTGGTAAACATTGAAACCACACAAGCGTTAAAATGCGTGTCAATCAAGCTCTGTTTCCTACTGTACAAGTATGCATCACCATCATTTAGCCAGTGCCAGTTCATTGAAAAGGTAAATTTTATTTGATAACTTAGAGTTGCTGTGACAGCCCTGCTGATTTGGTGTCTGTAAAAGGGGAGAAAAATAACAAAACAAACTTCTGGAAAAGTAGAGAAAGGAGGGGAAATTGAGTTTTAGGGGGGTGATTAGAGGAAAGTGGATAGGAAGTGTACAAATGAAGTGTGTTTACAGATGGTACAATGTTCTGAGTGGCCTCGGCTCGTTATGAAGCCGGATCAATGCTGCACTGTTTGGGCTTGATTGATTTCCTGAGCTTACTGTACAGGACAAAGGCATGTAGCTCTATTTAGCACTTTCTGGCTTTGATCTGCACCCTGATTTTGCCATGAATGCCTCGATGTACTGAATTGGTGCATATTTGTTTTTTTTCCAGATCCACATTGACATCCCCAGGACAAATCCACTTATCCCATTGTTCCAGCAGCCACTAGTGCAGGAGGTGAGTCCTTTCCTCTTTTTCGTGAACGTATTTGTTAGCTGTGCTCAAGCACAGACTCTTATGTTCTTTCTTCCCATCTCAAAATGGAAGCTGGGCAAGTTTGTGTTGAAGGAGTTGAATGAGAATTATTTTTGGAATGGCTTTTCAAGCGTGATCGAAGGGTCAAAGCAGGTTTTGAAGTTTCTTTCTACAGTTTGAAGGCTAACTTGCTTGCACAAGTTTACTCGGGACTAGTGTAGTGATTTGAATATATGGGTAACCAAACTCAATTTAATAACTGTTTACTTCATCATTGAGTGCGTTTACATCCACTTAATAATCCGATAACTGCAGAAAATTTCGATTTTGCCAGTAATCTGATCAACATGTTTATATGCACTTGAGTAATCAGATAATGGGTAAACTTCAGATCTACATAAGTCAGGCAGTAATCAGATTTCTGCTTTGCAACCAACCAATAAGCTCTCAGAAGAAGACGTGAAGTAAACGTAATGTAAAACTTGAACTTAATGCCGCAGCAACACTGCTTGCTTATTTCCGGTAACGGCATTTGTTTTTGCACACGCTCGGAGAAATCTGAAAGAAATCAGAGTAAGAGTTCACATGCACTGAGAAATCTGATTACTGAGCTAAAATCCCACTCTCTATCAGATTTCTTAATCAGATTTCTAGACCTTACTCCTATCTAAGAAATCAGAGTATGCTGTTTACATGACCATTTGAATAATCAGAACTGCAGAAATCCAATTATGATTGCATGTAAACGCACTCATTGGGCGGGCGCCTGTCTCATGAAGCAGGATTTATTAGCTTATGTCCACAGAAATGGATCGCTTTTTACCAGGCTTCATCACCATGGCAACTTGTGCTACCTAAGGTTAAGCTCAGGACTTGGGATCATAAACAGCTTTCGGACAAAAAGGGACAGACTTCTGACTGAGGTGGTCCTTTTTTGTGGCTTAAATCGTGTGAACAATATGACTTTTTAGCAGAGAAAACAAGTCATACTACATAAATATCAACAGTAGAAAGCAGTTATTACTCTGGTAATCACTAATACAGTGGCAGTAGGCCCAGTGTTGCTTTATACCATTATAAATACTTCACTTTCTACATATTTACAGTATAATTTCTTAGCCACTGGACTCCTTCTCGTGTTTCACGTGATTGGCTATTCATCAACGTCAAGCTTTCATATGCATGCACACAAGGATTCATCATAGCTAGATTATTTAAACCTGTGCTAACAGAGAAAGTAGTTAAGCATGGTCATAAACTGAGTTAACTGCAGCTGTGTTTGTTAGGTTTTGGGTTTTTTGAAGCTGAAACTTAGTCAGGACCACCAGAACATGCTTTGTTGGAAAGGTACCAGGCCTGAATAGTTTGAATACTTGGGTGTTGGTTCATAATATCAGGATTTGTTTCTGTATTTGTTATTCAGCGGCTTTGCTTTTAAGCCACAGAAAATGGGCCTAAAATTCAATAAAGTTCAGCAAATACAGAACAATGATTATTAATTTATGGAAAATGTTAAAAATAACATAGAACTAATGTAGTTAAAGGTATCCGAATTTCATACAGCCACATAACCTCATCTCAGAGTGCAGCACACTGTAATTTGTCCAGTTTATGATATCGCATGTGCCTAAAACACAAAAATAAATCATCAAATCAACAGAACGATCAGGAACGGATAGCCTCTTATGCTAGCTGTATACATGCCAAACTACCCATGCTTGTTTTTTTTTTTATTCATAATAGTATAAAATATTTTCTTGTTGAAATATTTGTATGTTTGTCATTTAAAAATGGGCAAATCCAAAGCGCAGTAATGATTTTAAAATGCTCATCTGTAGCTCATTGTAGTGTTACAAATGACCCGAATCAGAGCGCAGCTACTTTGAACCCTGTGGTTTTATAGGATGACCCTGTAGGGTGTTGATGTTACAGGCTACCTCCAACCGTTACCTTCAGATTTCTCTTAAAGATCAAGGTGAAATGCTTCTTAAAGCTGGAATAACTTCCTTCGTTTGCAAGAAATTGTGTCTAGTCAACATTTCTTAATGAATGAGGTGAAAACTGTGGAAATGCCTTTAGCTTAAGATTTGTGATATGCTAATTGGTAGCTTTTAAATGTCACTTCTCATTAGCGACGTTTGCATCATAGCTCCGGCACGACGGACCAATTTCACACTTGTAAGCAGGCGCTTGTGTCTGTAGTTTCATCATCATCATCAGTCTTACATTTGCACATTTTCTGCACTTCACAAAAGACTCAAATTTAGCAGTTTAGCTTCACAACTTAAAGAGAATTGTAAGCAAAGACAGAGAGAGGCTTTATGTTGATCCAAGACCTTGGCATGATTGGCTGTGAGTGGTTCTTATTACTCCTGAGATCTAGTGGTCACTGATAAGGGTGGGCAATATGACGGTATTTTATCATTATTGTGATAAATTATATCACAATATGCTTTTCTCAGCATATTGTGGATATTGTCAGAACATTTAAGAACACTGACCAACTGCATATTACCTTACAAAGTGAGTGCGATTAGGTCTGTTAATTGAATTTAGTGCAGTGCAGTTTGTAAAAAAAAAAATTGGATGAAATCATTAATGTTGTAATTATTTATTTATTTTTTTTGGTAGTGATACAGGTTCTATTTTGTCTGTTCCAGCTTATTAAACCAAATATCATGATGCATATCATGTATCCTGAAAATGTTTTAAAATATCGTCATATAATATTTTTGCCATATCGCCCAACTCCAGTCAATGATAACGTCATCTTCTTAGAAAACTGCTCAAATGCAGATACAGGAATTTCAGCTTTTCAAGTTTTGTGGGATTTTCCACAGTCTGTGCTTTGTTTACAACCGTAAAGTCGCATAAAACCTGGATTTAAGTTAAATATGTTTGGTTATTTTTGGTTTTACATAGACTAGTGTAACAAGTTTGCTGTTATGTGCTGCTGCATAGCTTCCAACAGGGGGTGCTGTGACTGTGTCATGACATGAAAACTTCAGCAAAGCAGAAGTGAATGAACAATGGGAAATGCCTTTTTGTGAATAGCCTCCTATACAATATTTGGCTAATCTTTTCAGTGTTATTAAATGCTGACTCATAAAGATTCTCATGTAAGCTGTCCTGTGTCAGTTTCTGTTGGTTGTTGATACCATTTTTGCCAGTTCTTTTATGACGGTTAAGATTAGGATATGATTAGAGCAGGATAAGGATTTAACCTGGAAAAACTACCATTATGGAGTCATTTTAAAGAAGATTCTGGTCAAAATGCTCATTTAAACGGCCTGTATCCTGCATTTGGTCCTCCTGAAGTCCACTTGATGTTTGTGTGGTTTTACACACTAAAAAGTTCAAATGATTCTAAACTCTTTGTCCTTTTGAATTAAGCAGACTGTTTTTGTTGATGTGTGCTTGAAGGGGACGTCTCATTTTTTTCAAAATTTCTACATAATTCCATCATTGACGTGTAAACAAAAATATTCAAAGTGCTTCGATGTGAAATGCTCTGTTCTAGAGAAACGTCCCGAGCCATAGTTGTTTACAGTGGTGGTGATAGGAACCAGATGTCTGAAGCGTTTAATTCCTCTAAAAGCTACATCACAGAAAGTTATTACATGAAATGGTAATGAATACATTGCATGAGTGTTGTGAGGCAAAATAGCACCTGGAATAAACTTATTTTCCAAGCTTGTGTTGTATACATTGCGACTCCTGTTTCCTGTCACCACCACTGTAAAGAAATCTCAGTAATTGAATTATGCAGACATTTTGAAACAGTAGTGGAATTCATATCATTTACATATGTGCAAATGACCTCAGTTCTGATTGGCTGCCATGTATTGTGCCTCATTCAGCAGTCCAGACTGAAACACTCCTTATAACTTCAGTGTGAACGTACTGGGTAAACAGCTGTCGGCTGAAAAGTGGATACATGTATCATCACAAAAACAACACATTTAAAAATATTGTAGCTCTGTTTTTGATATATGGACTGGGGATTCAAGTAATATGCTTTGAAACTTGTACTGTACTATACTATACTTGTACTATGTACTATGAAATGGACCCTCTAACACATTATTCTCTTTATGTTTAGCACTTGTTATGAATTGAACTTCTTTGATTTTGTGTGCCATACTGAAAAGTCTAATATGTACTTGTATATGTTTGATTTGATATTTACATTTTGGTACAATGGCGTATTTGTCTTCTGCTGCATCACAGGTGTTTGAAAGGATTCTGTTTATCTGGGCCATCCGGCATCCAGCTAGCGGCTACGTTCAGGGCATCAATGACCTTGTCACGCCGTTCTTCGTTGTCTTCCTCTCTGAGTTTGTGGGTGAGTTCAGCTGCAGTGTGAGTGAGTCCAAAACAGACCAAAGCCAAGGAGACAAATGTTTGGGCTTTCCACAGTTTGGCCCAATTATCGCACTACATCAAGATGTTTTAAGATGATGTTTTTTTTTTTTTTTTTTTCTTTCCTATCTTTTAATATGCCTGGTGGGTATAAAGAAGTCTGCCAGCTCCTCTGTCTATAGGCATTCATTCCTCCGCTGCACCACAACACCTGCCACCTGCTCTCACTAATTAGGTTCTTTTCTTTGTAAAAGAGGAGAGCTCATTAGTGTGCAGGTTTGGAAGAACTACCTGCAGACACCACGGGCTTCGCTGAATATAGTTGACTGCTCATAGTTTACGGCAATGTTCTTCACTTCCAGTCCCTCAGAGCCACAGCGCTACACACTTAAAGGAACAGTTCACATGTGCACAGCTTTCCCCCTTACCCCAAATGTAGTCCATCAACCAAGACATGTTTGGAGTGCAGAGTTTGCTGCTTTAGTTTTTCAGTGTAGCTACCAAGTAGTGGAAGCTGTAAGGCATAATGTTCTTTAAGAAAATGGACAAGCATTCATTGTGTAGTTACAGTCATCCTGAAGTCTGGTTTAATAGATAACAGCATGTCGTGCAGTAACATCAGTCTATTTGAGATTACTTAACAATTCAACATGGTTTGGTGCAGCTAATTAATGCTTTTTAGCATCAAACCAATTGGCATTAATTAGCTACATCAAACCAATTAATCCATTGCTTGTTAATCCATTAATTAGCTATGTTAGCCTTGTAGCTCTAGTGCAAAGCTAAAGAACTTGGCTGATCGATTACATATGGTACAGGGATTAATGTGATATTTTGACCTTTAAGTGCCTCCCCCATATAACAAATTCATCTTATTAGTAAAATATAAAGCCTTTATAAGCTGACTTAACTGTCTTGTGTACTGTGTCTTGTCATGTTTTGCATTTCATGTTGCATCTTAGCTCAGTAGACGCGCAGTTTGGTTGTAAGTTATGTAAGTTATGCAGGGAGATTCACTCGAAAGAGGCCCCGAATATTCTGTAATAACTCTTGCTAGGACAAAGCAATCTGAACAAAACAACGTGCAATGTGTACATCAGTATATGGAGCTTTCGAACAAGTAGGGATGCCCCTGCGTCGGGGCGATGAGGTAGGCGCCGGACAGCCGTCGCGACGTTTAACCTCCGTTTACAACTTACGGGTGCATACCCTCGTACCCCCTCATGTGTCTGGCAGAAAAGGGAGATCACTTCCAGCATCACATGTAATGCAATCAATTAGACATATGTCAAGGTATGCAGTGCATTTTTTTGGTTTGGGTTGCTTCATCCTAACGGGAGTTACAACAGAATATTCGGGGCCTCTTTCGAATGAATCTCCCTGTATATGGAAGTGTTTGTTTATTGGTCAGAAATTTTGCAGACATTCCACCACTGTGTGACTCTCACATTTGCCAGGAGCCATAAACCTTCTAATTGTTTACAAATAGGGACATTTATCTTATGTGTGCATCACAGTTAAAGCAATAACAACAAACCTTACTTAATATTTGCTTTGAATGTTCCTCCCCCTTTACACTGTTCTGGAATGTTCAGAGAAGATAATAGAACATTCTCCCTATTCAAATTGTTGTGTAATGTTCTCCCCTTTTTGGTATTGTTCTAGAATGTTCTCAATTATGCTGTTCTAGAATGTCCTTCCACATTCACACTGTTCTAGAATGTTCTCCCCCATTTCCGACTGGTTCATTTGGTGTATCACTCCTTTTTCTAAGCGTTCTAAAACAGCTGCCAGCAGTAGATGCAGTGTTTTGGTGTTTGTTGGGTGGGTGTGCTCTGGCCTTTACACTGAGCTGTGTTGAGCAGCAGAGAGGTGAAGTTGGAGCTTTCTCTCATTGCTATTCTCCAGCCTCCCTCCCTCCCCTCCCTATTTGTTTCCTCTCCTCTGCTGTGAAGGTTAATTACTTCTAGATAGTTAAGGATTACAGGAGAACAAAAAAGCAGTGCATTGATCTCTTCCCGCATGTGCCAACCTCGCAATGTCACCAGTCCACACACATCGGGACATACCCTCAGATTACCTGGAGCACTGATCGATTTCTGCCCTTTTTTTTCTCTCTTTCTTTCACACATACACACACACATTCACTCTCTCTCTCTTTTCCTTTAATCTCTCTCTCTCTGTTCTCCCCACAGCTCATTACTGAAAAGCAGGTTTTTCATCCTGATGCTTTACTTCATTCTGTTTGGGCCTTTATGCTGCTAATTTGTTTGTGTGTGTGCGGCTGTAAGAGAGACAGAAGCAATAGCTCAAGTTGAATGAGCTTCATTGATCTGCGAGGTTTAAAAGTTTAGCCAGGCTTGCGGGGGTGCTGCTGCTGCATACGTGCGTCTGGCACTCTGACGACCAATCAGATCACCCGCTCACAGCATGTCGTCCACCGAGGGGTTCGAGATAGTTGAGGGCTTGTCTGTGGGATGTCCTGGGAATAGCAGACTGATCCTCACCCTCAGACACATGTAAGAGCTATCGAGAGGGTAAAAGGCAGCTCAGGGATGACGACACTAACCAGTAATAGATACCTTGCTGCGGCTGATACTGATGGCATTAAGTGGGCCTGCACAATATGTCATTTGTTAATAAAATATCGTAAAATATGGACTTTGAAGTACTGATGTAACAGGAGGCCACATTATGCAAATGAGCATGTAATGAATCAAAACGAAATGTGCTTGGAGCATTCTGATCAAACTCAGGCATTCCAGATGAATTTCTTTATAATTATAATATTGGCATCAAACTTTTTTTTCATTAAGTTGGCTTGATAAATTGATAATTAAGTTGGCTTGATAAATTCTTCTTTTTATTATTCTGTGCTTTTTTTTTGGCAGCATTTTCACAGGTTGCATTTTTCAAACTTGAACTGCAAAACTTTACAGGAACATAAAATCTATATGGGAATAGTGTGATTGTGCTTTGGGGATTTATCTGACATTAGGTGTTCATACAGAATTCGTTCATAAACTTTTTTTTATATATATATATATACTACATTTCAAACAGCAATGGCCTTGCAACACCTTAACAACCACCTGGGATACCATAGCAATGGCCTAGTGACATAATAACAACTCCGTGGATACCGTAGCAACAGCCTGTCAACACCCCTAATCATCCACCTGCTTTGTCGAGCCAACTTCATTCACAAACTTTCACTTTCTGATTGTTATTATTAACAATACTACTACTACTGCTACTACTGTTAACTATTACTACTACTACTACTATTACTATTACTACTATCACTAGAACTACTATCACTAGAACTATTATCACTAGAACTACTATCACTATTACTACTATTACTATTACTATGATCACTAACTACTATTACTGCTATCACTATAACTACTATGACTTTTACTACTACCACTATAATTACTATGACTATTACTACTATGACTATTACTGTGATCCTTATAACTAATATTACTATTATTACTATCACTATAACTACTATTACTATGACTACTATCACTATAACTACTATTACTATGACTACTGTTACTATTATTACTTTTACAATTTCTGTTGCTACTATCACCAATACTACTATCACTATGACTGCTATTACTGTTGCTACAGTTACTATTGCTACCATTACTATGACTACTATTACTTTTACTACTATTATTATTTTGGGGAAAATATAAAGCGTAAATATAGCCTGTGTAAAGGTTGACACACTTTATATTTTGTTTTATTTTTCTCCCAATATGTTAAACTCAGCAAATAAATAGAAATAATTTTGCACTAAAATGTACAGAAAAACACTAAGTTTGTTCGCTGTAGAGTATGTGTGTTCACTTATTTTCATTTAGAAAATCAACAAAACATGTATGTACACACAGGCCTACACTGCCACTGATGTATCTTGAATAGGTAAATCTGCTACTCTTTTGGGTAACTTGAACTGCATGGCTGGGTGACTTTCTAGGACCGCATGATGTGCTTCTGTCTTCTCAGAGAACCTCCTCAGAGGAAAAAAGCATGAGAGAGATATAGAGAGAGGAGTATTGGTTCTTCTGAGCCAGCTCGATAGCAGGTAGTGAAGTGTTTTAAAAGAGAGCCGGCAGGCTCAGAAGTCACAATGCCCTTTGGTTTAAAGTATTGGTATTGATAAGCTAAAGCATTTGAAGTGGAGGGAGAGAGAGAGTGAGAGTGTGTGTGCGTGTGTGTGTGCGCGAGAGAGAGAGAGCATGCTCCCAAAGGGCAGATCATCTTACTTACTCTGACAAGAGAAGAGGCCTGTGGAGAATACACACACACACACATGCACACAATTTTGCTCTACATCACTAAAGGATGGGATTATTTTAACCATGGTGACGCAACTGCAGCATCAGTTTGTTAAAGGTTAATATAGCCTTAGTCGATGCATACTGTACTTCTCACCAAGAGTGTAGGGACACGTAGCTTTTCCAAATGTTTTCAGTACAAATTGTCAGTACACGATTAAGTAACATATTGAAGGCTATGCAGGGTTATTTAGAGGAAAACAGTATCACAGGTGTTAATGCTTGTGACCACATTAGTGACAGTGCTGCTTTGGGTATAATGGGTCGACACATTTTATCCCCTTGTGATGTCAGCAATCATCAGCATTGAAACCTTTCAGCTGTTTAAACCCCTGTTGGATCTTCATGCAGGCAGAACCTGCTGTTCTTACCAGGGAAAGACACGTAGATGCACATGACTGAAAACTATGTCCAAACATATATTAGCAAATAGCTGTTTTATGTTAACAAAACCTTTTATATTGTTTCTTATTTCCAAAGAGAACATTCAAATTTTGAAAGAAGGCAAGCTTTTGACTGGCTGGACTGTCTGTGACATTAGTGATGGACATGAGTAGTCAGTTAACCATATACTCATTATATACCATATAGGCAGTACATGACCACCAAATTGATCATTAGGGCT